TAATATTTTTTTGTTTTGTTTTGTTTTGTTGTTTTATTTTCATTTAATGAACAGGTGGGAAAAAAGGTTTTTGACAGCATTCATATTTTCTGCTAAGTGTGCTTTAATTTACAAACAAAACATTAACAAAAGGTACATATAATATTGTGTGTTATTGCATTATGCAACTTTACTGTCATGTTGTTATTTTGACAGATTAGCACAGTTTAAAAAAATTCTACCCAAAAGCACAACATAACAGTAATAGAGCTGGCTAAAACACAATATATGTACATTGTGTCAAGAGTACATGGAGAAAAACTCACCTGGCAGAAAATATGAATGCTTTTTCCTGTTAAGAACATGGGGTAGTGGTGGACTTCACTCTCTTGTGGCCAAAATGAGTATTACAACAACAAACATTTGGTGATTAAGACAAATGAAAAATAACCTGCTAAAAATGTTCACAAATGAAAAAAAAGGTACCTTAGAAAATATTTAGAGCATTTTTTTCATCTGTTTTGCAGATGAAACTAAAATTTAAGAAACTTATAAAGATTATCCTGGCACAACCTTTTTTTTTATTCTTTTTTTTTTAAATTTCACCTGTTCTTACATCATGAACACAGGAGAGAAAACACTTGAGATCAGACTTAGAAAATGGATCACTAGAATTATATTTTCTGCTTTGCCTCTCAGGTCTCCCACAGAAGATACATGACTACAGGGCTGCAGTGACAGTGGAAAGTGAGTTCATGCAATTTGTGATATTTCTGCACATTCAAAGGATTTCAAATGTCGTAAAGAGGAGTTTAGACTGTATGATTATTACATTTGTTTGTTTATTTAGGCTTATTTGAATGCTTCTTTTCTTTAGATAAAATTTGACAAAGTTTAGACAAATAAAGTGACATAGAAGGACTTGTATTTTCTACCTGGGTATGAGGTTGTACTGGCAGCGGTTTATCTTTCCCTGACACAATTGTCGGACTGACATGGGGCGGCCAAAGTTCACATGCATGCAGCCGTAATCTTCCTGGAGCACTTTGCTCGCCTTCAGCAGACCCTGCAGGGAAAGAGCAAAGCTGGTGGTGAATGACAGGCCACAAATAATCAGCTTTATTCATGCATGAACTCGTCTGACCTGCACTAATGAGTTAGAGAATGAAGTTAGAGACAAAAATACGTTGTTTGCAAATACAATATACAATTTTCCTGTATTTTTACATACTGTGTTGGCAGGGATTCAGAGACAAACTAACACTTAAAAGGTGGTGAAGCTTCTTGAACTGAGGTGATTATGAATTGTTGGCTGAAGTGTGTACTGTGACCAGAACGTACCATGGTGCTTTCTTTAGGTTTGGGGATACCCAGTAACTCGTGGGCGAGCAGCGACTCCTCCAGCACTCGGTCATAGCTGATGCTGATGGGGACCAATGTGACGTCATAAACTTCACCTTTAAAGTAGGGTTCTACCACCATGTGCATCATACCTGCAAACACACGCAGACAGTGTAGAACGTTTTCAAATGGCAATACATGAATGCAACTGTTTCCCCTTGTTGGTCACTACAGGTAAGTTGTGGGGACTTACGGCGAACTGAATGGGGAAAAATATAGACTTCTGTGCACCCTAAATACACTGTACCACCACATAGCTTACATGGCAGAAAATCTCTACACCTGCACACAATGGCACAAAACTAAAATTACAGCCTTGTGGTCATATGCCTCCACGAACCAGTCAAGTTGAACCAACAGTTTACATCATGATAATATTGGTATGTCATCAGTATTGGCCGATATTGGCTTTAAAATCTGCCTGCTGGTGGGCCATCACGATGCATAATATCATGTTAATTCCCCTACAGAAGAGACTTGATGATCACCAAAATTAGGTGGGGAAAATGGATATATTGATATTTGTATTGGTTATCAGTCAAATGATTTGTTACATATCAGCATATCAACAAAAAATCCATATCGTGCATCCCTAATCACTTCATCATTTTATCCTATTAGACATTTGTGTGAAATTTTGTCATAATCAGAGTATGACTTCTTGAGTTATGGCCAAAAACATGTTTTGTGAGGTCACAGTGACCTTGACCTTTGATCATAAAAATCTAATCAGTACATTGTTGAGTCCAAGTGGACGTTTGTGCCAAATCTGAAGAAATTCCCTCAAGGTGTTCTTGAGATATTGCGTACACGAGAATGAGACGGACGCAAGGTCACAGTGCCTTTGACCTTTAACCACGAAATTCTAATCAGTTCATCGCTGAGTCCAACTGGATGTTTGTGCCAAATTTAAGGAAATTCCTTTAAGGTCTTTTTGAGATATGGCGTTCAAGAGAATGAGATAGATGCAAGGCCACAGTGACCTTGATCTTTGACCATCAAATTCTAAAAAGTTCATGTTTTAGTCCACGTGGACTTTTGTGCCAAATTTTTTAAAAATTCCCCGACAGTGTTCTGAAGATATCACATTTACAAAAATGGCACAGACGAGGTCGCAGTGACCTTGACCTTTGAAGAAATTCCCCAAAGGTGCTCTTGAGATATCGCGTTTGTGAGAATGTGACGTATGAACGTACAACCCAAAAAGATAATACCTCTGGCCACGTTTATTTATGGACCAACAAATATGAAACAAAATAACTCAGACTGATGAGTTATGTTTTTTGAGACTGGTGCGGGGAAATGTGTGGAGACAAGACCATCATTGTAAGGTCATCTGTAAGGTCTTTTATCAAGCAACAAAGACCATAAAATAATGCTTTCTTACAAAGACACGTTCCTGCCCTGGGGCACACACAAAGTGCTAACATGGCACTTACCTAATTTGGGTATCAGGGACTTCAGTGTGCGACTCCGCAGGCCTTCCACATAAAACTCCACAGGAGCAAATCCATTCTACAGAAAACACATTTAACTCTTAGAAGCACTCTCTACATGATAGTCTAATATGGATCCACAAATACTTTAACGAACTGAAACCATTTCCAGAAGGGGTATGACAGATTGAGTTTGATGTGGTTGATGAAGCAGATGATTGTGTCCTACCTTCACAATAGTTTTGACATATTCTGACAGCACTGCCCAGTACAGTTTATCAGAGCCAATGGCGCGTCGGATAAAGAAAGCTCCCGAGCGCCGCAGTATCTCTCCGACCATCTTCATCCCTGCGAGAGCTTCATAGTGGAGAGAAATAAAAAATAAACAGAGTAAGTAAGAGAAGTGAGTGTTGTCAACCAAAGAAACAGGTCCTTAAAATGTTTACATAAACCGCACAATATTCTGTTGTTTTAATTCAAGTAGATACTTGCGAATTCCGGCAGCAATAACAGGCAGTGGGATGTCGAAGACGAACAGGATGTAGGAGATAACCAGGAAGTCCACGTAGCTCCGGTGATTGGGCATCAGGATCACAGGACACTCCTGAACGGCTTGTTGGAGCTGCGAGGGACAGAAAACAAATCAAATACTGTATCTGTGTCTCGGGATGGTGATCTTGGAAGAAGCACTTGTTCGATAAAAACTTCTCAAGGGCTAATTTTCGTTCAGCCGTGACAAAACGCAAAATATTTATTCAAACGGAGGCTGTTGTGCATTGAACACTCTGTTATGTTACACAGGCACACTACCTTTTAATATGGTTTAATTTAATTCAATTTAAAAGGGCTTTATTGGCATGGGAAACATAGTTGATGAGAGAAAAAGCTTGTTCAAGATGAGTCAGGCCTGCGCACAATACATGACGGGTAGATTTGTGTCCGACTTCATCCTGACTTGCTCTGACGTCATGCAAAAGCAGACAACGATAACCTCACGAGATCGAGGCGGCTGCAGTTTTTAGAGCCAGGCGCTGCGGTTGCTCTCTACCAACTGCAAGACCCAGGGCATGATGGGAAACGCCTGGCTCTCACTTGATCTAGCAGCTGAATGGTTTAAATGTTCACTCAACAAAATGACGTTTTGGATAAACTTTTAGTTTTTGTTGAACTTCAGAGATTAAGATTGTATTTGTCTGATTTGAAGGTTTATTCTGTCGACAGAAAACATGTTGAGTGACTCATGGAGATGTTTAGTCGTCAGAGACTAAATACATTCACCATAAACTGTACTCATCCTACTGTATATTAACATTAGACTGTTTTAATTATTGAAGTATTGAGTGTCACAGAGACTGGTGATGAGTGGGATGTGAGGATTCTTAAAATAACATCTGTACAGATGTGAAGCCCAGACTGTATCTGGCTGAGCCTTAATGAAAGCTGTTGTCTTGTATTTATTTCCCCTTAAAATATGAACTTTATATTCAGACACAATTTATTCAGCCAGTGTAGTTGAGGTGCAAAAACTTTAAATGTGTCCCCAAGTGGAGTCGCAAAAACCATCAAGCGCTACAACGAAACTGGCACACATGAGGACCGACCCAGGAAAGGAAGACCAAGAGTCACCTCTGCTTCTGAGGATAAGTTCATCCGAGTCACCAGCCTCAGAAATCGCAAGTTAACAGCAGCTCAGATCAGAGACCAGATGAATGCCACACAGAGTTCTAGCAGCAGACCCATCTCTAGAACAACTGTTAAGAGGAGACTGCGCCAATCAGGCCTTCATGGTCAAATAGCTGCTAGGAAACCACTGCTAAGGAGAGGCAACAAGCAGAAGAGATTTGTTTGGGCCAAGAAACACAAGGAATGGACATTAGACCAGTGGAAATCTGTGCTTTGGTCTGATGAGTCCAAATTTGAGATCTTTGGTTCCAACCGCCGTGTCTTTGTGAGACGCAGAAAAGGTGAACGGATGGATTCCACATGCCTGGTTCCCACTGTGAAGCATGGAGGAGGAGGTGTGATGGTGTGGGGGTGTTTTGCTGGTGACACTGTTGGGGATTTATTCAAAATTGAAGGCACACTGAACCAGCATGGCTACCACAGCATCCTGCAGCGACATGCCATCCCATCCGGTTTGCGTTTAGTTGGACGATCATTTATTTTTCAACAGGACAATGACCCCAAACACACCTCCAGGCTGTGTAAGGGCTATTTGACCAAGAAGGAGAGTGATGGAGTGCTGCGGCAGATGACCTGGCCTCCACAGTCACCGGACCTGAACCCAATCGAGATGGTTTGGGGTGAGCTGGACCGCAGAGTGAAGGCAAAGGGGCCAACAAGTGCTAAACACCTCTGGGAACTCCTTCAAGACTGTTGGGAAACCATTTCAGGTGACTACCTCTTGAAGCTCATGGAGAGAATGCCAAGAGTGTGCAAAGCAGTAATCAGAGCAAAGGGTGGCTATTTTGAAGAAACTAGAATATAAAACATGTTTTCAGTTATTTCACCTTTTTTTTGTTAAGTACATAACTCCACATGTGTTCATTCATAGTTTTGATGCCTTCAGTGAGAATCTACAATGTAAATAGTCATGAAAATAAAGAAAATGCATTGAATGAGAAGGTGTGTCCAAACTTTTGGCCTGTACTGTACTTCGGCATTTTGAAGGGAGGAAGTTGGTCATTTTTGGGGGGCAGTTGGATTCTAGCCTGAGTGTCAGACTGAAGCTCCCAGAACCTTCAGTCTGACATGGCTTCCATTGAAGGCGATTTACAAGGGGGAGGGAATTTGATTTTTCCCTAACCAATCAGTAGAGATCAACGACTCACCCAGAATCTGACGTCATTAGTATCCATGCCTCGGGGGTGCCGAAAACAAGTGAGCATTCCCCTTTTAAAATGTCTCCATCGTCGTGCACGCCCAGCTGCATCGCCGTTTAATCCAGTTTAGCAGTTTCCTTAATTTGGTCCTCCATTAACGCGAGTAGTGGCGAAATACCTCGATAGCATCGTGAATGTGGTCTGTAGAATCTGTAGCGGTCGCCATTGTTGCTATCCTCACCAGTTACCCACCAGCGTACAGCTTGACATCAACGTGGCGCTGATTGGCTAATCGCTAGACCCCCGGCGTTCCTTGGTCCGTCCATCGTTTGGACGAGATAAATCGCAAATTCATTGAAGTATGCCAGACCAGAGATGCAAGCCTACTCAGCTGAGAGGGCGGGGTCTATGGTCTGGAACCAGGCTAGTTGGATTCCTCTGTCCCGTTAAGGAAGACTGTTTTTAAGTTGGACAAATTAGTAGTCGACATTCTTCCAGTTTTCTTGTACTCTCATTTAAGGAGTGGGGATATTGTCTTAAAAATTGTGTTCAAGCTTACATTCAGGTCTCCTTTTGGTGCTGTCTTTTGGTGGAGACACTGAGGAATTAAAGGCAAGTCCCTCTTTTAACCAAGTCATTAGTACCACAGTTGAATTACACTTGTAACAAGACTTAAAATTCAAGCTGGTTGTTAAACAGTATTTGCTCTTTGCTGGGCTAACATCTAAACTAGTGGTTCTCAAATGGTGTGCCGTGGGATTCTGTGATAACCACACATTATTATTACATTAATCAACCTGGCCTGTACAGAAAGTTATGAATAAATTTTGAATTGAGTGTGTTGTGTGCACCCATTTCCTAATAAAGAGGCAAATATAGCTAAAAAAAATGTAATGTAATTTAAAGTTGTGAACACAGTATTGATCAGTAACGTGGTCCTCACCATGTTGAGTCCCTCCATGTTGACGTAGATGCTGGTGAAGAGTCTCTTTAACACCTTGCTGAGCGTGAAGGCCATCAGCCTGATGAACCCCAGCTGCAGGTTCTGAGACATTTCCTCCAAAATCCCAACAGCTTCCTCTCTCACCTCCTCCACCGACTGCCCCGTCTCCGCGGCAATCTGAGGAGGAACGCAGGGAAAACACTGACTCAGTGTTGATGAAGCAACAGTGAGGAAATTCTCTGTTACGTCTTGTCAAATCACACCACCCTACCTCCTTGGCCACGTAGCGTAGGTATTGGGACTCCAGCACGACTTTGTTGAGTTCAGCTGTGGAGCAGGATGGAGCTCCTTTGTAAGGGCTTGGGCTGAAGGTCTTGAAGGCGAGGCCCAGATCACTGCTGCACCTCCTTTCCTCCAGTATGTCCACAAACTCATTCTCCAGCCCCACTCTGCCTGAGTCCCAATACTGGAGGAGGAAATCATTCTTATATAGAGGCATTAAAATTAAGTTTGATGTTTGACACTTTTTAATAGAAACACAGATAGGTAACAGAAGCATGGCTGATCTGCCACACAGCGTCCTGGTGTGATTCAGGTACGTGAGAAGATAGAATGAGAAAAATAAATATACTTTGGAGGGTTTCTAGCTGCTTGGATTTAAAGTTGCCCTCCACTCCACCTTTGGACGTTTGACCGTAACTGTGCACAGTTATGTCTGTTTTAAGCTGCGGCTGTTTCCACATCATGGATGTATAAAGAGAACTGGATACAGCGTTGGTGGCGGGGTCCAGTTCATCCATGTGAAAGTTGCTCAGTGGCCCATGAAGCCAAAAATGGTCAACTACCGCCTATAAAATTACCTGGGTGATGATTGTCACGGCTTCTGCACATAGATTTTAATAACTAGATACCAGATTCCAAGATGGCGCCTGTTCAGTCCAGTTGCGTTGTTCAAAAAGCTATCTAGGCTCTGGGTTTACTTCCAAGGTATCCGGCCAACTGATTATGTTCAGTAGTGTTTCTCTTGGTGGCCCTGCCCATGCGTTCTGCTCAGCTCATAGACTTTACATTGTGATGACATCATGGATTTTTAATAGATGTTCTTGGCTTGGGGAAAGTTTTACAAATATAAAACCACCATGGCTCAAAAGTTCAGAACAGATTCATGATTGACCTTGTTTGCAGTTTGTCCTGTCAACAGTTTTACAGACGTCTCATTTATATTGATTTTCTATGGGGAAAATGCTTTCTGAACCACAGGGGATTTTTTCACTGCAATACTGCGAGTGGCCACTGGGGGAAATTTCCTAGGCAGTTGGGAGAAATTTTTGTCATGGGATTTTTTATAAGAAAGGGATCTCTTGGTTAAGGTTAGACAAAAAGTCGTGGTTTAGATTAAAGAGAATAGATTTCTGTCAGACAGGGCCTTCTTGGAGAAAGTCTACAAGGACTACTTCTCTCATGTGCCTTTCCTGGGGGCCTGTTCTGCAACGTGAGGACAGAGCTAGCATAAGCCCCTTTTACACTGCCAGATTTTCTGCGAATGTTGGGCCGTTTTGCCTGCAGGCTGCGAACATTTAGACACACAGAGCCGGATTGGCGAGTTGATCCGAGGTGCCCAATCTTCTACCTCGTAGGGTAGTCATATTGATGGAACTTTTTTGGTTTAAAATGAACAAGGCGCCCTTTCACCACAGGAGGAGCTGTTGATGACTTGTGGGAGGAGCTGTTGATGACGCCGCACGTGCGACCAACTGGCGGTGGATAAACAGGAAACAGCTGATAGCAGGAATTAGCGAGCAGCTAGTAGCAAGAGGGAAACGCAAACCTGACAGACACTGTAAAGATGAGCAACTGGGGAGACAAGGAATTGCACGCCCTCCTTGTCCTCGCAAACGAAGAGGCCATTAACCGTCAGATGACGGGGACGATGAAGAACGGGCCGACCGAGAGAATTGCCGAAGGACTGACCAGCCGCGGCTTCCCTCCCACGTCACTGTTTACGTCACACGCTGAGCTACATGTTTTGTTACTTGCTCACGCCCCCATTGCCCCGTAAAAGGAGCATTCTGTATAAACAAAAGTAGGCAGGCGGCATTTTGCTGCACTCCCCGATTTTGCTTTTATACTGCCAATGCTGAAAGAGGACTGATTGGGCTTTCCTGCAAATGTGCACAATTCCTGTTAAAATAGGGCTATAGAGCAAGCACACTAGAGACTTCGACCATAGGAGCCGACTACTTCTGGTTTAGTGCAATGATTTAATTGCGCAGCTCTTCAAGACTTTCCAAATGTTACCAGACCGAATGGACCAAGTTCTGGGAGTCAAACAAGTCATTTATCAAGGGTTGTGAAACTCAAAAAAATATATTTGCTGATTTACAGACGTCTGTCACATTGTAGGTCAATGGGAAAGTCTTTATGGGCCCAGTGGCCTCACTTGATGGAGCAAGATGTTATAATTCCACTATTTGACCATCAGAAAAATTAGCTTCTAAGCCCAGGGCACCTACTCTGGGTCTGTTTCACATGACTGGAACACTTCCCCCACAGAATGACCATTTGTAAATCAGTTAGTCATGCCATGTTACCTTTCAACTGTAAAGAAAACTTTGTTTTTCTTGCATGTCTCCACTGCATTTCAAAACTGAACTGAAAGTGAAACTTACTTACAGTACGTTCCCTTCAAAGCCAGACTCAGATACCAAGGGTTTCTAGTGAAAATGTCTGTGTTTGAGAAGAACTGATGCATATGACAAGGCATGACTGATTATGAAGTACAGATTATGAAGTATTCCTTACAATCTGAGTGTACATACAGGCATGGTTTTGTGACATCACAACAGGAAGCCAAACATCGCAACTAACTGTCATGTGATAGCTTAAAACCTCCAGCCTACGCACAAACAGAGAGTGGAATTTGGGGTTAAGCAGCAAACATGTTGTACTCAGCAGTGAAACAAACAGTTTTTGTATAATACATTCTGAATTCTGTATTTTTAAAAGACAGAGAAGAGGAAAGTGGACCCCCTCCCACTCAAATATCATTTCTTACCATAGGCTAGATGTAATAGATGATATTCTAACATGGTACAGGGGCGTAAGGTAGTTAGGACAGGTCCTAGTGCATGCTATTATGCACATATCATCTCATCACATGATCAAACAGAGACTCAACACTGCACTATGTCAACATATATATATCCCTGCAATCACCACTGCATCTGTGCATGACAAAAATACCACAGATAATAAGGAATTATTCATTTAATTGAATCCTTTTACAGTTTATTTATAGTTTATGTACAATAAAAATATAATTTTGTCATAGATGCTACTATTTTACGTAAAATAAAATAAAAAACTGACACAGATGGGTTTGTGTTTTTCAAGGGCATATATAGCAAATGGCACCTTTTTTATTTAGGGTGCGTTCCGAATCACATACTTTTTATTTTTATTTATTTTTAGTAGGTACATCAGCTGCCCTTAAAAAGTACATACTGTTATTTTTTATTACATTACACCCTGAACTTTGAACCTCTTGCTTTTATATCTGTTACCTTAGAGATAAAACAAACGCCACTTACAGAGTTCGCCAGAGACGGAGATCAACCGGTGAGCTCTGCTGTTGTTACTTTGCAATGTGTGTATGTTTAACTTTAAAGTTATAACTGCACAGATTGTAGATTCTGACATATTATAGTTGTGACAGTGAAGTTACATCCGCAGTTCTTTGTCGTTGTTCTTTTCATAGTTATGTCCTGTTGTTGTTTGTAATTATGATTATTTTGTTCAATTAAACAATTTATATTCCTATTATTGACATTATTGATCAGTGACCTATTGTCCACTGCGCAGAGGATTGTGGGTCAGAATAGCCAGAAAAGCATGCTGGCTTGCATACAGCAAAATCAGACCGGCTGTAATAGAACATCCTGGTGTTTTTGGCATACTGCGTTTGACAGACTATGTATTGGTGCATACTGAATCTTTTTCTGGCATACTGTATGGTATGGTAGTGTGATATTGGAATGCACAGTTAATGAGAGTTCTTTGAACATATCTCTAAGGTGACAAGAGCCCATTCTCCGCCTAATGACACTGTTGGATAGCCTTCTCTCTCTATGGGCCCCACCACCCCACAGGCCCCTGCACTGTCTTTATTTACGCCCCTGACATGGTGATAGAGCTCTATCGTTTATCTGGGTCTTTATCTGCAGTCTGTTCTATACTATGACCTGATAACACCGGTCGGCAGCAACATGTTAAGCAACATTATTAAAACATGTTAAAGTTTCAGCAGCTTAATGGCCTCAGCTTGAAGCCAACGCGTCACTCAGTCTCACTTCCCGCACTTAATAATGCATATACTTTACAATGTTACTTTAAAGCGCACAGAGGCTCATATAGTGTGCGCAACAAGCGGCAGAGGATGCAACAAGTCTGCATGAACACATATCCACAGGTGCTGCCGGGTGTCTTACCGTGCTCGTCATTGTTTCACAGGAACAAAGTGGAGCCCTCGCAGGTGCCTGTCCTCCACATCGACTTTCGTTTTCCCTGCTTGAAAGCTGCCTCGGTTTCACCCTGTGTGCAGCGCAGCACTCTGCAGGGCCGAGCCAATGGGGGCGCTGGGTTTTGGAAACTCCTCCCGCGCATTGTAATGTACAGCCCTGTGATCTTGAATAACCCCGCACACTGTTGTGCACGGTAACATGTGTGGCCAAATCAAACAGCTGAGTTTGGCTGCTCGCAGAGAGACGCATATCTGAGGCAGAGATAAAGTGTTTAGCGCACACTTTGGTCAAGTAAATAATCTCTTTGCATGTAATCAATCATACCGAGGATTCATGGAGGCTGTAAAGATGAAGCATCTGATGCAGCCTGATGCATCACACTGATTACAGACCATTTAAGATTCTATATGGCTGAAGTTTTTGCTGAATGAAAGCTCCACTACATTTACTAAATGCACCCAAACTTTGTACCTCTTGATTAAAATTACAAAGAGATCATTTACAACTCAGGCAATGGTGTAATGTGACTACATTTACTCAAGTACTGTACAAACTTAAGGTACTTATGCTTGAGTATTTCCATTTTATGCAACTGTATACCTCTCCACTGCGCCACAGAGGCAAATATTCGCTCTACTCCACTACAGTTTTCCTACAGCTTAAAGGGACAGTTCACCCCAAAAGCTTGTTGTGAGCAGTTTCATGTAGGAACTGTTTTCATTATACTAAACTACACCTGCCAACTGTATCACTGCGCAGAAGGAAGCGTGCATCTACTCATGGACTACGGCTGAATCCAAATGTCCACCCTCTGGACTTGCAGACTGAGCCCTTGTGGACTTCAGTCGTACACAGTGTGGCATATTTACTATAATCATGTAAAAAGACTGCAAGCAGCTGATAGACGGCCCTCGATACTGCTTTACTCGTTGCCGTGGAAACTACGTGGAAACAACTTTAACTATTGCTGCTGTCATATTCACATATATGGCATATAAGTCGATGAACAGTGCTGACTCATCTGTTCTTGCAGATAACAAAATATAAATCCCATGTAGAGTCTTTTTTGTGACTGAACAGGTTACACACGTTCAATAACAGAAATGTTTGTAAATAAGGACAGGACTATAACTCAATAAATTGGGTGTTACTGACATTAGAAACCTTCTTTTGTTGCCATTTTTTAGCCTATTTCACTGCCTGATAGACAGCAATAATAAAATTAATTTTCAGTCCCTCTACAGCCTATACTTCTACATATCTCTGTATCATGATGTGGTTGAATATTATTTCGGGCCTACATAATTAAAATAGAATTTTAATCGGCCTAACTATCAATAACTGTTTTTTTGGCAATTGAAAAAGCCATAACTTCACATCTGTATTGCAATGAATTGTGGGTTATTAAATCAGTGAAGTCTGCTGAAGTCTGCACCCCAAGTGGACTCTCTGGAAGTCTGCAGGAAGTCCACTTGAGGCCCCTTGTGGACTGGCTGAATAGAGTGCGCCAGGGCTGACGTCAAAACCCGGAAGTTTAGCATCACGCTGGTTCCCGGAAGAGAAAGTGAATGTGATTTTTGCATTGCGTTTTGGATTATGTCAGAAAATAAGCCCTGTGGCTAACACAAGTTTATGATACTTACAGGTTTTGTTCAGCGAGATAATCTTCACATATGAACACCTTTCAAGCTTAAATGCAATCGCCAGAAGTAAAAAGCTAACATTAGGCTTTAACAGACTACATGACTACTCCACGGTCGCATGACTCTTGACGTCACCGCCACTAAGCTTTCAACTGATTTCGGCCGCTTTATTTTAAAAACATTGTATAATGGGAAAATCGGACTGTTTAAGCTAAATAAGAAGCTGTAATGGCGGACTGCCAGCACTTTCGCCTGTTCGGGGGTGATGACATTTATTGTCCCCGACAGGGTTCGTAGTCGTATTGAGCAACTTGTTAGCAACCGCCTTTACGACACGTAAAAGCTTCAGAATTCACAAGTAGAGTATTTACTGACGTGTTTTATGTCGTAGAACAAAACCTGAAACTCGCTTAAGCTTTTGTTAACCACAGACCTTATTTGAGGCATTTTACCAAAATCCCATTCAAAAAAACGTATTGACTTTTAGACGAGAGAACCGGAAGTGCTAAAAGCGCTAACGGAGTTCCGGGATTACTGGCACACTCTATTGTGGATTTTGACAGTCCTTACCACTCCCATATGTCCTGGGAATGCACCCACAAAGTCTGCGCGGTGTCCAGACATTTGGATTCAGTCTACAGGCTTTTGGTGATGACAGCACCTAGTCCTCCTCAGCTGAGCTGTGTGGCAGTAGATGCACTCTTCCTTCTGCGGGGTGATATGTGTGGATTATCTTGAGGAACCAGGTCATGATTTCTGGAAAGAGACATTGCTGTTGAGTTTTTTTAATGTATTTTTTGGCCGCTTTGAGCACCACAAGCTGAGTGCCATCTAGTTCCATTATACTGGAGAGAAAGCAGACATCTCTACAGCTGATATCTCCAACACTCTGCAACTCACACCAAAACAATGTAGACTGATAAACAGCACTACAGGTAAGAGGAAACATATGTAGTTTTGATTTGGAAGGGTACTGCATCTTTAAGTTACTTCTCGGATTACAGATTTCCATACCTTTCCTGTCTAAATAATCCTTTGAGGGTTAAAGGATCTGAATAATTCTTCCATTGCTGTATTCAGGTGAATCATGCTGAAAGTTAAAAAAGGACTCAGTGAATATCGACACACACTTCCTGCTGTACCAATGCATTTATTATTGAGTTTGATTACATCAGTTTAACAGTGACCTGGTCAAGAGACGGAGTGGAGAGTAAATGAACAAGTTATAGATCACGTTGTTCACAGTTAAGGCAAAGATAATACGCTTTCATGCTGTCTGAGCTCTTTCATGGAAAGAATAATAAATCATCTATATACACACGCTCTGTCACAAACTACACGCTTACTCAGGTGGTGATGTTCACAGTAAGACCACTGATACATTAGGCAGGTCAGCTCCTGCTCACATATGGACTCAGGTTATCTGCGGTGGTGTAAGAAATAAGGACCACTTTTCAAATGTCTTAGAAAAAAGGCTGAACATTGCTTTAATACTTCAGCCTCTAAGCTGTGGATGGTCTGATGAGGGTTTCCAGACTGCTTTAAGGGATAGTACAAGGGAATGGCAGTAACGCTACAGTAAAAGTACCAATGAGTAATGAAAAATATAACTTGATGACAGTCAATATGTGATCAGATGAATAAATAAAATACATTTAATGGCATATATGGAAACAAACATGACTCTCAGAGAGTGGAAACAGTCACATAGATTCATCGCATGAAGTGTAACTGATAAATTAAAAGGCGTCTCATGAAGGCCACCACAGATATGACACTCTGATCACGACACATGCACACCGTGTGATTTCGATAGAAAAATAAAAACTATTCAGCGATTCTACTCACAGATACTCTTGATTTCTTTTAGAGCAAACTGATTATTTTGACCGTTAAAAATGTTGTGCTTCTGTTTCTTTTGTCAAAATGTCTCAACAATAAATATTCTAAACTACAATGTACCTCAGTCAGGAGAATATCAAGCTGCGTGGATGTTCATTCATTCGTTGTGCTCTGTAATACAATTTAACTGATTTCTTCCAAACAGAATAAAAGACCACACACACACGTTGCTATAAAGTAAAATAACCCTGCATGTACGTATATATCAGCTGATCGCGGATCGGTAACAGTCTCGAAGTAAGAAAATAAATTCTACATTAAGTATTTGGCACAAGTTGAAGTAACTTGCTCTCTGACGTGTGCTCACTGCACTTCTGAACAGATGCCATAGGTATACTGTGTATTCATAGAGTATACAGCTGTCTGCATAAACAGCCTATAATGTCTTGCTACTTAAGTAATGTCAACAGTCACTCAAACATAATACATGTGCTAAGCTGCCTGAATAAATAACTATATCTCATATACATATATCTAGTCAGAAGGCTACAGAGGCCGTCTCATCATAAAAGTGCGCTTACATCCATCTTGTGCGTTTTCAGAGTATTCACAGCTGATTTACTGACTTAAAGGGTGAGTTCAGTATTTTTCAACATGGGCCCTATTTTATTTTGTGACTAATGGGAATAATTTTTCAAAAACCTTAAGTGCTTGCTTTTGTCACTGACAGGCTCAGATTGTTATTACAAGTGTCTGACAACGTTATGAAAAGGATCCCTACAGAGGTAGACCTTTTTCACCTCAGCTTATTCAGAATGCTGCTGCAAGGGTCCAGATAAAAACTAGGAAATATGACCACGTTACGCCGCTTCTAAAATCCTTACACTGGTTACCTGTCACTCAGAGAATCGATTTCAAAGTCTTGCTGCTTGTGTATGAATCACGCACACACTCAGCGCACAAATAAATCTCTGACATGCTTGTGACACATTAAACTTCTAGGACCCTGAGGACATCTGGGTCCAGGGTATTGACCGTCCCAAGAGTCAGAGCACTTTTGCTATTTTTAATGGTGATTTTTCAATTGTCATTTTTAATTTATAAATCATTTAGTAATTAATTTAAATTTTAAAATGTAATTTTAAAATGTAATTTTCTTTTCTGTATCCTTTATTATGTTTTATATTTCATTGCTCTGTAACGCACTTTGAAATGCCCTGGTGCATGAAATGTGCTATACAAATAAAGATGCCTTGCCTTTTGTTAAGGAGTAAGATCCTTTTTGTTTAACCAGAAACAGTCCCAAAATCGCCATCGCCAAACCCACCAGACTCCATTTAAATAACAGTAACTTTATCATTGTAAAATACACTTCAGTCAGTGTCGACAGGAACAAAATAAAAAATAACAAAAGCTTCCTTGGTTTGTCTTTCCACTGTTCCAACAATCACCAACTCTGATTTGGTTGAAATAAACCTGAAATTCACCAAGGTAGAAATAAAAATATGTTGCCTCTATACAGGCTTATTTAAATGGAGTCTGGTGGGTTTGATGATAGCAATTTTGGGGTTGTTTCTGATTAAAAAAGGATCTTATTCTTTAACAAAAAGGTCTATCTCTGTAGGGATCCTTTCCATATCGTTGTCAGACACTTTTAATATTCATCGGAGCCTGTCAGTGACAACAAGCACCATTAGTGGACGTAAACTGACAGTGGGAACATGCCCTCTCACTCGGTGCTAAATCATTCTTAAAAATTGTTCTCATCAGTCACGAAGACACAAAAACATGAGAAAATATGGTCCAGGCTGAAAAATACCAAACTTACCCTTTCAGTATCTCTCTGTCTGCTGTGCACTCAAAGTGCTCCATCTGCTACACAAATCTACAAAGTCATATCACACACACACACATGTCACCATCACACCATCAGTCAGTCAGTGCTCAGCAGGCCACAGGTAGTCAGCTGCTGGGAGTGGGAGTCTGTGGAGGTGTAGTTCCCTGATGGTCCACCCGGGGGAGCTGCTGCCTCCAGAAGGTGAAGTGGCTGTAGGTGTCCGAGCAGGGGAAGTCTGAGGAAGAGGCTCGCATCTTCAGGGGGAACACGTGGTCCACCACCTCACCCAGACGGACGTAACTGAGGAGAGGAAGAGAGAGAAATGAGTGAACTTAACTTTTTTTTCTGAAATCTTTACAATGTTTCCTCTTAGAATTTGTCAAGTAAACTGTAAGCAGGACTTACGATGAGATGTTGGTCTTGGCGTGCTCCTGCACCAGCTCGCCTTTAGGGTTCACTGTGAAAATCCTGTTCAGTGGCACTCCGACTTCTTTATAAGAATAGACATCCTACAAGAATGCACAGCACAAATGGCTTTAATTTGACCCAAAACTCCAGATGAACCAAATGTTATTCACTGGAAACCATCAACTGTACTTTATATAATGTGTGTGTACCGTTGGTCTGTTGCCGAACGCTGCGTAGAACGGCTGTGCGTTTGGGTAGAAGAGGTTCTTGATATCGTTGAGACACTCCACCTTGAATTTCTCTGGTTTCTTCTCAATCACCTCCCTGTCAAACACGAACATACCGCAGAGATGTAACAATCAGCACTGCAGAACAATGCTCTTCTTCTTCTTGAACATGGAGTACTACTCTAGAGAAATATGTGTGTGTGTTGGTGTGGATGAGAGACCTGTGAAGAGCTGAAAAGAGGCTGCTCGGGCTGAGCAGGACGGGGCCCATAGGCAGCATGGTGCCTCTCTCGTTGACCCAGTGGAGGTAACCTCTGGTCATGTCAGCCATGCCGATAGCTCGAGCTGAACAGTACAGGAACTTGTAGCCGTTTCTGGGGTAACGAGAAAGAAGAAAGGAAGATCACTTGATGGTGCTAATAACAGAGCTTGTTTTTGGCCTGTTTGGTGTCACATTCGTGCTTTGATAGGAACAATTCAAAGGAATTCACACGTGACAGTGTGGTAGTAAATGAGTGCTTACTGGCTGACTTTGTGGTAGAGGTGTGCGATGCCCTGGTGGGTCCAGTCTTTCCCCAGTGTGGGCAGGATGTGACCCAGTGTGTCCGACCTGGAGACAGACACACAGAAATGACATCGGGACATGTGAGCACAGGCTTTTCCTCATTAATAAAAAATACAACAATGTAGGGCTGCCCTCTAATAGTCAACCAAACGTTAGTCGACCAGAAAGGTCAATAGTCGGTAAGGTTGAATAGGTTGCTTAGCTGAAACTCTATTAGGAGCTGCGCCTTGTCAGAATAAATCAAAATCTATATGACTGGACCATGTGGGAATTTAATTTGAAAGGACAGACACAGGAAGTGACCACGCTCAGTAGTCAGACAGGAGTCAGGTTAATTTCCAGGGCTGGTAGCTGCGGTTATTCCACAGGCTAGTTAATAACATGTCAGGCAGGAAATCCAAAGTGTGGGATCATTTTGAGAAGGTGAAGGACGAACCCAAGGTGATATGTAAACTCATCTTCATTGGTCGACTACAAACATGACGTATCATCTGAAACATGGAAGTAGCTACATGCCCATTAGCCCACAGTGTCATTAATAGGCGGCTCACTCAGTGTGTGACGTGCACTTGTAGATAAAATATAGGCCTATATTAATGAAGGTTCATTAGTACGGTTTTGTATTTCTCTGTAATGTAGCACAGTGTTAACAGTGTTACTGATACTATTCTTTCTCACACCTTCAACTCAAACCACCAAAATACATCATTTAATAATTAAATTAATATCGTAAACATGCGGGCGACTAGTCGACTGATGACGACTATTGGTCGACCAGGAAAATTCTTAGTCTGAGGCAGCCCTAATTCACATGTATCACACACCTGGTGATGGTTCCATCTATGTCAGAGATGATGATCTTGTCGTCCCAGTTCCAGAGGTAGATGGTGCCCTGACAGCGACAGGTTCCCTGGTACTGAGTGGTCACACTGAACACAGCATCGTTAGGACCGTCCTGCAGCTGGAGAGAAAGCTGTGTGTGTGTGTGTGTGTGAGAGAGAGAGAGAGAGAGGGAGAGAGAGAGAATGAGATATAATATATGGAGGTAAAAACAATGACAATGAAATAACTTTACAATATTTCAGAGTCTGCACTCACCAGCTGCTCTGATGTGAGCCGAAGTGTTTTCTTATAAGACACGCCCCCTGATGGCTCTGATTGGATGGAGGAAGAGCTCTGTAGTGTTGCCCTGTGGTCTTCATCACTAGAGGACGATTCTTCTTTATGTCTGGCGTCAGACAGGTTAACAGAGTGTTAAAAGATGTTCAGCCCCGACAGGAAGTTCAATAGCTTGGAGGTTACTTGAACGTTTGAGAGTTCCTCACCTGCTGGACATTTTCCCAGCCTGCTCAGCGTAGCCACAGGCCCCACGCTCAGACACTGAATCCTGCAGGAGAAACACTGTTAATTTGCTTTGCTCACTCATTTAGTGGTAATTTACATGAGCAACACCTTGGGGAGTGTTATCAAACAGATGAGGAGTAATTACCGATTTGGTGCTGCTGTTTCTGCCTCGCCACGAGAACCACCACCGCCCTCCTTTCTTGGGCATCTTCTCCTTCATGATGTTCTCCACTGCAGCCTGGAGCGGAGCACACACAACCCCAACACAACCACAACAAAACACCGTAAAAAAACACACTCAAAAAACTGAAGCCAAACCAGACTGTAAATCAACAAACAGTAACAAAGATGCAACAATGTGTCTGCGGCTGAAGGAAACAAAGCATGATGGGAGTCTGAGAGGGGGCAAAGAACAAGGAGGGTAAAGAAAGGGTAGAAAACATGAGAAAGAGGAAAAAGAGTGTGGTCTCTGACGTACAGAGCTGTAGCCCAGCACACCAGTCACACAACAGAGGAGAAACTCTAAGGCTGAGTGGACATAACTGAGGCAAGAGGACTGATGGATGGATGGATCAATGGGAGGGAGGGGAGGAGGGGAACAGAGGGGGAGACAAAGTTTAAGGAGAAAATATTCAGTGGAGGTTTATCACACAACATAAAGTCTTTCTGAAGCTGCAATAACAGAATGCTTAGATAGCACATGAGGCATTATGCAACGTAATCATGGGTAGAAGTATACGGTAGGGCTGCACAATATATCGTTTTAGCACTGAAACTGTGATGTGTGCATGAACAATAGGCGCATCGCAGGGCGTGCAATTAGGGATACATGAGATTGGATTTTTTTGACGATATGTAACAACTCATTTGACCGAAAACTAATATCAATTTATTTTGCCTCTGTGCAGGTGACAGCTGTGGCCAACGGCATTATGTTTTCTGGTTGTCCATACGTCCCATTGTTGTGAACGCCATATCTCAAGAACGACATTGGGGAATTTTTTCAAATTTGGCACAAATGTCCACTTGGACTCAAGGATGAACTATTTAAAATTTCGTTATCAAAGGTCTAAGGCATTGTGGCCTTGCATCCGTCTCATTCTCATGAAAGCGATATCTCAATAAGGCCTTGAGGGAATTTCCTCGACTTTGGCACAAACGTCCACTTGGACTCAACAATGAGCTGATTGAATTTTTATGATCAAAAGTCAAGGTCACTGTGACCATAATCATGAATTCAAACTCTGATTATGAGAAATTTCACACAAATGTCTAATAGGATAAGATGATGAAGTGATTAGGGATGCATGAGATTGGATTTTTTTGACGATATGTAACAACTCATTTGACCAATAACTGCTACCGATATTGATTTATTATGCCTCTGTGCAGGTGACAACTGCGGCCGACGGCATTATGTTTTCTGGTTGTCTGTCCATATGTCCCGTTCTTGTGAACGCAATATCTCAAGAACAACATTGGGCAATTTCTTCAAATTTGGCACAAATGTCCACTTGGACTTAAGGGTGAACCACTTAAAATTTCTTGGTCAAAGGTCAAGGGCACTGTGGCCTTGTATCCGTCTCATTCTCGTGAACGTGATATCTCAATGAGGCCTTGAGGGATTTTTTTCAAATTTGGCACAAACGTCCACTTGGAAAAAAAAGCTGAGCTGATTTAATTTTTATGATCGAAGGTCAAGGTCACTGTGACCTCACAAAACATGTTTTTGGCCATAACTCAAGAATTCATATCTGATTATGACAAAATTTAACAAAATGTCTACTAGGATGAGATGATGAAGTGATTAGGGATGCACGATGTTGGATTTTTTGGGGATATTTGATAACCAATATCGGTATGTCCACTTTTTTCCCCCATCTAATTTTATTGATCATCAAGTCTCTTCTGTAGTGGAATTAACATCATATTATGCATGTATGCTCTTATCGTGATGGCCTATCAGCAGATGGAGGCATGAAATACTTTTCAGCGTATATAATAATTATTAATTGTGTAAATTAAGAAAAATCATGTTGGCCGATATTGATAGTTCATTTTAATGCCAATATCGACCGATAACGATGACGTGCCGATATCATTGTTCATCCCTACATGCAACATCAAGTAAGGAAAATTAACCGAAACATGTCACGCTACAACTTTTTTTGCTGCTTGATACAAAAATAAAAGAATGTTACAAGTGTATGATAATGCTACTTACCAGCTACAAGCTAAGCTCAAGCTAACTGAATAAGCTTACAGACACCAAAGGTCTCCTAACTATGGTTCAGAGCTGCAAGGTTGGAAAAGTAACACTAGCAGGTTGTCTACCTGTGTGTTAGATCATTTGTCTTACTTGAATAAAATGGTGTCATGGAGAGCCAACTAGTGTATTAATCTACTTAATTTCTCCCTCCTCCCAATCAAAAAATTCTTAAGAGAAAAAGGTAAGTTTCAGCTTTTATCATTTTTATCGTCTCTGCAGATACACTCCCCTACACATACCAATAATTTTAGAATGATCAGTTCCTGTGTTTTTTCATATTGAACTATGTATTACAGAAACAAAAATATCACACTGTTAGTTTTTTAGAGTTTCATGCAGCCCTAGTACAACTTGAATGTGAGACACACAAACAGGATGCAGTACCAGTTTCACTCAAAAGGGGGAGTGATACTCATATAACGCCACCACCCTCCAGTCTTGAGTCATTAGTATCCATGCTGTGTATCAATTTCTTACCTTTGGCAGTGGTTTCTGGAAGGCCTGCATAGCCAGCATAAGTGGAGCCGCAGAGCTCCAATTATAGTATCTGAGGGAGAAAACAAAATGTATTTTTATCAATTTCATAACTGCAGCAGAAAACACTTTGTCAGCCAAATGTCTCTGCAAAAAACCTCCTTATGAGCCCTTACGATCCTGCACACTCTGCAGTGTTTGCTGCAGTGTGTGGCAGCTAAATCCATACAGCACACAGTAGACTGTAAACTCCTTATAGCCTGCTGTTTGACTATATTTAGACATAAACATGATCTCACTCTGCTGTGAGTGTGATGAGTGTGGAAGTCTTACTTGGAGCCAATTTTCACGACCAAGTTGGGGTCGTCGATGATGGAGGGGTTTTCCGCAAACTGCTGGTATGTGATGATCTTCTCGTGGAACTGATCTGTAAGGACACACGTTTCATGTTCAATGTCTTGTCCCATAGCTGTCAACACAGTGCACGATACAGTGGCTGACACTGGCCAATGACAGGCTACACTTCCATTTGGTGAGATGTGCTGCAGCTTCAGAGACGATGCCAATTCAAATCCAAAACAATTACAATAACTGAAACGTGAGAATATTCATCAGTATGAGTGTCTTACCTTTCGTGATCTCCCTGTTTTCATTGAGTCCACCACACAAGGAGATGGCGATAGATGGCATGTCACCCATGGGGTCGCAGTAGCTGTCCACTCCGCTGTCTCCTCCAGAGCTGACAGACTGTGGGGACAGACTGGTGCTGTGGAGGCCTGGGTCTGATATGCTCCTCACTGTCGAACCACTGTCACTACAGAGGAGAGGTGTTTATAAGAATGGATGGACGCCCAAATGTTGTAAAGCTGTGTCAAAAGCACATAAGTTATGACTCAGTCATACCTCTTAGGGAAATAAAGAGCCGCCACTTCAGGCTCGAGTTCTGTGATGTCATCCAGGTAAATCCCATCTGAGCCAAGATGGCGGCTTCTCTTGTCTGCAACAGAGAGACGACTCCATTAAAATAAGTATTTGCTTTTCTTTTGGATTTATCCATGAGGAAATCATTTGAATGCAATATTTTTTGAGGAATAAATCAATGAAAAACACATTCTCACATCTTTAGTGAAGTAGTTCTATATCTTAATAATCTGCTTCAAAGTTTATGTTTATGTCTAAAATGCCTCTAAAAGCATGAAAGGCAGTACAGTGGACTTTTATTGCAAAGTGCGCGTCTTCAAAAAACATAGGCGAAGATTTCGAGGGGAAGCAGGACACATGTCCCTCTTAATATTTACAACATGTGCATTTGTCCTTACCCCCCTAAATAAAAATATAAAAGTAGCAGAGCACTTTTATTTTGAGGAAATTGCAGACATTTCCACCTAAAATTGATGCATTAAAATTCACCAGAATGCAGGAAATTTACTCTTAAAACTCTGTAGGAAAGGACCACAAACTCAAAGTTTCATACCACTCCCTGCCCTTCCATGCACCTACATGGAAAACAGCAGCAAAGACCCCCCAGGAACAGAACAGAGCAGCATCAGTGACAAACAGAAATGACATTGATGAGTCAGACACGAAATGAAAAGGAGGAGCTGGGGTGGAGGCGGCTTGCAGAGGAAGCAGCAACAGTAGGCAGGCCAGAGCAGTTTAAATAGGGCGCCCTGAATGAGATTCACCAATTGGTTGCATAGAAAGGAATCATGTAGTAACTGTGTAGTTGCACTTTGAACGTTACCTTTTCTCTTGGACGGAGAGTCCGTTTTGCCCTGTGGCCGAGGAGTCGTCTCCTCCATGTCAGCTATTGTATGAGCTGCGACACCTCCAGTTGTCTGCGTCTCCACCCTCATGGACTCTGACTCCATCCCCACTGTCTCCTCCCTGGTCTCCCCTGGCATCAGCAGCCTGAGCGCCGATATTTCAGAGCAGGGTCCGCACTGTTCTGACGATGTCTCTTGAGTTATCACACGGAAGTGTGTGCTCTCAGACACTGGGATGGACACTGGGCAAACTGGTGGAGGGTCGGGTTTCACTGGGAGGAAGGACGGCTGGAAAAGAAGGGGAAGAGGATGAAACAAAACCACAACAAATAGAGTTGATGTGTCTGTGTGTGGATGCGAAATGGACAGTTTGGTTACCGTGGCAGCCTGTGGCAGCTCTCCCCAAGCCCAGTGCATGGCTTGATCCTGATTGTCTGCGTCTGACAGCTTGGTCATTAGCTCAGAGTCGCTCTTGGGAGAGGTAGAACGAGAGTTTCCAGGGCTGAAAGAGGACAAGAGGATAAACAATGATTACTAGTCCATACCCATTGGTAGCTTTGTCACCTTCTACCTATGCCAATCCTCAATGCCTATGTGCAGTATCACATAGATTGACCACGTCAGTGAGTAGAAAAACATGGGACTGACAGAATGACTGACTGACAGAATGACACTCATTCCGTGATTATGTACAGCATACCATACCATGACTTAGTCATACCAAAAATTAGAAAAAAAAAAAACCAACAAACATTGGGCCACAGGGGGAGCCACAGCGATCGGTCGCATTTTAGCCATTTTTAAGCATTTTTCTGTTGTTATAGCGCCACCCAGTTGCCAATTAGAGTTCAATTTCTCCAGTCACCTTGAGGCGTCCTGTTCTACATATCTACCAAGTTTAGTAAAAATCGGTTTGGCGGTTAGGCCTAGATAAGAAATAAGCTCTCTAGCGCCCCCATTTTGTTTGATGGGGTCAATAATGGAGGGGTCCCCTCAGATTATGTGTGGTCATATGCCTACAAAGTTGAGTGGTGATGGGTGAAACCCTTGAGATGTTATACACCTTTATGTGATGAGCCACGCCCTCAGCAATATTCATTGCCTTATAGAAGCTCAGTTTTAGTAAGTTTTCCAACTTTTGCCAAGAGGGAACTTTAGATATTGGTCCCTAGATTATGTTCATCGAGTTTCATGCAGATTGTTCAAACTTCCTAGGAAGAGATCTATTTTAAGTGTTTTTCAAAAAATTCAAAATGGCGGAAAATCTCTATAACCGGAAGTTATGGGTTCTTGAGGCAAATTTGTTCCTCATGAGGAGAGGCATCTCTGTGCAAAGTTTCATGTCTCTATGACATACAGCATGAGATATGACCATTCAAAGTTTGCAATTTCAATCGGTTGCTATAGCACCCCCCTTTGGCCAATTGATGTAATATTGCTTCATTCGCATCCTCCCGTGACCCTCTACCACTGTGCCAAATTTCACATGGATTGACCAAGTCAGTGAGGAGAAAAACATGGAACAGACACACACACGGACAGAGTTTTCATCATTATATAGTAAGATAGAGCTGTTTGTGATGCATAATTACACAAAGGCCTTTGTCATATGTGTGAATGAGTCACCTCTGAATGGGGCTCCACTCTCCATCTGAACGAGTGTAGATGCCCGTCTGTTTGAATGAGCCGCTGGTTGAAGTGGTTGTGGTCTCCTCTCTTAGAACATCCCGAGACGAACTCCTGCAACACACACAAATACTGTATATGCACACCATGCAACATCGTCATCTGCATTTTTTATACTATAGAGTAAGTAAGTACCCCATACAACCCCGCTTCAAAAAATCCGAACTGTTCCTTTAAGATTAGAGCAGACTGTTTCCTTCAGTAACAAAACCTGATTTCAAAGCAAAACTTTGCTTACATGACATAAACATCCATCTTTTCTTATATAGGTCATCAACTGTATTCTCTGTAAGCTTATCTGAATGAAGAACCACCCTGGTGTTGTTTTACAGTAGAGTACAGTAGAGATGAGCCAGGATTAAACGTAATGTATCTCCTACACACGTGCAGAGGAGTAAATAAATCTTCCACGTGGCAGTTATTTACAGCAGCTGCTTTGTTCATTCATGATAAATGGACTTAAAAACACCCAGTACAGTAAGGGAGGGACATGGCTCCTATAGCTGCACGCCTGACCGACATACTGTACATACATACTCGACTGATTTAGACTAAACACTGCGCATAAGAGGCAAAGTCACGTGTCGGCAGTTACAAACTGTGTGCACAGGGAGTATGTGCCCCTTATCTTAAACAAACAGGGAGGATATTTCCTCTGTTCACATGCAGAGCTTCGTCTTTTCTATTCAGTCAAAATCACACATGTGGTTTTCATATGGTCTTGAGTGTGTGTGTGTGTGCCAGTCCCACAGCTGGAGGCCTCTCCACTACAGACGCTCATCTGTTTATTCTCCACTTCCATTACAGCTGCTCTCAGAGCTCATTTCAGTGATGTATTATACTTTTTATCTCCCTGTCCACCCCTCCTCTCCCTCACTGTCACGTGTATCGCTTCCCCTCATTGCTTCCTTCTTTTTCACTTTCTCCATTCCTCTTTTCTCACATATCCTTCCTCCTTTTCCTGTATCGTCTCCACGTTTCTCACCTGTTGCTCTCGATCTCCGCCATTTCATCCGAGCTGATGTCTATAGTGAACATGTCTTCGTCCTCCGAGTATTCCCCGCTCTCCTCCCTCCGTACGCTGTCCGCCCTGGCCTTCCTCCTCCTTTTCCTCCTCTTCTTCATCATCATGGAACTGCCCGTCTCTCCCAAGGTCCCCGCGGAGCCCAGGGTCTGTATCGGTGGCCCGGAGCTCTTCCCCATCAGGGAGGAGCTCATCATGATGGCTCCGTCTGACAAGATGGGAGAGGTGGCCAGGTAGGAGGGAACCACTTCCTGTTTAGACGAGAAGACGCAGAAGTGAAACCATGAATGCTGTCTTTGAAACTCACAAGTGTCATGTGGGTGATGTTAAAGGGGAAGGGAGGTTTTCAAGTAAATGTGTGAGTAATTAAAACTTTTTTTATGTAGCACTTCTTATAAACAGGATTAAAAAGTGAAATAAGAAGCATCAGTAAAATGCTTCCTCTACAGAGCCATAAAACTGTTAGATTTTGAATAAATATGCATTTTTAATCCATAAATCCTGAAGTATTCAAATTAGAGGGTATTTTTTAACCATATTTTCCAGTGTTTTTGTGTGTAAGTGATTAATGGAGACGATAATTTTTAAAACTGTTCCAGTATTGAGCGACAGGGCTGCAGCCAGCAGCTGCAAAATAGGCTGCAATGCACCCTCAATTTACATCCACTAAAAGTGTTTGTTTTGCCAATGACAGGCTCAGATTTTAGTTTTAAGTGTGTGACAACATTATGGAAAGGATCCCTACAGAGATAGACCTTTTATTATAGAGTACGATCCTTATTGTTTAACCAGAAACAGCCCTGAAATCACTCTCGCCAAACCCACCAGACTCCATTTAAATAAACAGTGATTTTATCATCATAAAACATACTTAATTCAAAGTCGACAGAAACAAAATAAAACTCACAAAAGCTGTCTTGGTTCCTCTTTTCGCTGTTTCAACAATCGCCAAGTCTGGTTTGGTTGAAATAAACTCTTAATTCACCCAGTTAGATGTGAAAATATGCTGCCTCTATACACGCTTAAATTGCTGTTTATTTAAATGGAGTCTGTTGGGTTTGGTGACGGCGATTTCGGGGCTGTTTCTGGTTAAAGAAAAAGGATCTTAGTCTTTGACGAAAGGTCTATCTCTGTCGGGATCCTTTTCATAATGTTGTCAGACACTGATGATGGTGATGATGATGATGCTGATATTGATGTATTTGGTTCCCCTCACCTCCCCCTGATTGTTAAGTATCTATATGCTTATGTGTTCTCTAGTGTCTTTTTATGAGTGTTTTTATTTGCTGTGTGACTAATTGCCCTCTAGTGACAAGATAAAGTTGAAGTTGACTTATGATAACACTCTGAGCCTGTCAGTGGCAAAAACAAACACTTAAGTGGACATACATTAACGGTGCAAACACCCCTCGAGTGGTTGCACTGTAGCCTGTTTTGCGGCTGCTGGCTGCAGCGCTCTTGCTTAACACTGGACCATTTCCAAAAATTGTTGTCCTCATTAGTCACTTAGATACACAAACATGGGCAAATAGTTTCCAAGCTGAAGAATACCAAAGTCACCCTTTTTAATTGTTGCATTATGTGCATCTGCCTGCGACACAAAGACCCATTTGTGCTGCTGTGTGCAGCTTGTTCAGTGGAACACTTCCAGACCAGCACTAATATTATCTCTGCTATGAATGTGAAACACTGAAAAACTAAATCCAAAATATCTTCTCTAGCATCCGCCCTGACAATTTCCGCAACCGAGCTAAAACTAGATTTTGAAATCTGGATCAGCTCCCACTAGAACAGGACTCTAACTGTGAGTGTTTTGCACAATTTTGTTCCGAGGCAATCGCTGCCAAACTGTTTGCAGCCACCTCTGCTGTAAGGAGACCCTCAGCTGCCAAACAGCCAATCCACAACAGTCTGTTCCTCAATTCTGTGAAAGGAGGCGACTCTACTTCCTTCTAGGAAAAGAAAAGGCTTTCCAGGAGGGTCTCCTGCTGTCGGCGTGGGGGAGTATAAATGTGTATGTGTGTGTGTGCAGACATACGGGGAAAAAAAGACAGAGAGGGAGGGAGAGGGAGGAAAATGTGAGGTTTAACCATATGATTTGTGGTTTGGACAATGCTCCCTCACGTTTTCCTTCTCTTTGCCAAGAAAAAAAAAAAAAAGGGCTCAGAGAGACAGTCTCCCCGCCTCCTGCTTTCTCTGTGAGGCCTGGGAATGTGACACCACTCTGGGGAGAATAAATCACCCTCTTCCCTTGTTGGTGCCGCCCCACTGTCTCAGTAGTTCCCCGCTTGTTTGTGTCGTTCAGCTGCGCACGTAGCAAAGACACATATTACAATAACAGTACACGGGATTTGGACACTTCAACCTGCAGTTCGAAAATCAAAAAGTAAAAAGAGTTTTAGAAGGAGGAGGGTGTTTTTCTTACTTTATCTTTCTAACTAAAAACCAAATTCACGTTCTTAAAAGCATAGTTCTTTGCCATGAAACTCAAGTGCAGGTTTGTCCTCAGTCATAAGGCCACTGCATTTAATATAGGTCAGAAAGGCTGAGTTAGTAAAAGCTGCATTCAGGACTCATTCACTCACTGATGAACACAGGAATGCTGTTCAGCCAAAAAGGGAAAGGGAAAAAAAAAAAAAAAATCCTGGCCGCTGTGCCAACTCTGCACACAGCGTGACCTTGTTCGAGCTACTACACTATGACTGCGCGTAAGGAGGAAAATACTTTGGATAAACGTTCTCGCTTGTAAACATGGGTGTGTCTGGGTGTCAGGGACGTCAGCAGGGAGGAGACTGGTGTGTTTTCATTTGAATGTTGTTTTATTTGAATCAATGTCCGTTATTTAACAGATGTTGTGTGACACTTTCGCCTGGAGTATGTAAAGCTGCTCATGGTCATACGTACCTGATCATTTTCTGTTTCCTGCACAAAGAATGCTTCTCCATTGTCCCCGAGCTTCATGTGTAGATCCACTGGCTCGCCGTTGATCTCCATGTCCACCTGGAGGAGAGGAGAAAAGGGCAAAGCATTAAGTATCTGAGAGGCTAGAACTCTCTGTGACGGAGGAGAGAGGCGGTTGCCCTTACCACTTTCTCTCGGGAGCGGAGGACTCCCATCTTGCCGAAACGGACGTGGAAAGGTGAGCACTGCAGGGATCCATCGGGCTGTCTCACTACGATGACGTCAATGCAGCCAGAGAGCGTGGCGGGATTGAGGCCTCGGTAGAGCTCTTTGACCTGGACAAACACCTGGCCCGCCAACTGGCCCACGTAGTTCATGGTCTGGCGGGTCTGGAGGAGGGACAAGAGGGGACAAAATGATCAGCATTGAAACTGTAAACTACATACATACCAAGAGGTCAAAATTGGGATCTTTTTAGGTGGGGTTGTATGAGGTACTTATCCATAGTCAGTGTATTACCCACAGTAGATGGCTCACCCCAACTTTGGAGAAGCAGACTGGAGTACTGACACGGAAGCTGAGCAATGTACTGCTATTGACGGGGGCAGCAACAAAATGTAATTTAGCCACCTTAAAAAATCAATAATAGTATAAGTGTATGCTATTTTAAGAATATTTTCAGGGCCGCAGAAAGCCCTTGTCAGTCCACATTGATGCTCTCGTCAAAGCCACCAGACTCCATTGAAAAAACAAGTAATTTTAGCTTGCAGAACACAGGAGCTGCCAGTCTACTACTGCCTTGATTAGTTAGTTCGTTTCTGTTATTGTGTGACTTTGGTGAATCTGAACTAAGCCTTTTGAATGCTGAAGTCACACAATGAGACAAATAAACCAACTGATTGAGGCAGCGGTAGGCGAGCAGCTCCTGTCTTCAGAGATGTTAAAATTACTGTTTTTCTCAATGGAGTTTGGCTGTGAAGAGACCAGCATTATGGCATCAGCTACTGGTTGGAAATCACTGTCTAACAGCAAGGTAAAACCGTGAAAATACTTTGAATAGAGTGTATGCATATTGTTTGTTTAGGTGGGACTATTTTAGGTTGCTACAATATGTTGTGTTGCTGCCTCATCCACAGCAGTACATTGCTACGCTTCCACGTCAGCGTTCCTGTCTGCTTCTCCAAACTGGGTGCGTGCCGACTGACATTTAACTACCACATGTAACACACTAACTATGTATAAGTACCTCATACAACCCCACTTCACACGATGTGAACCATCCACTGAATAGTCGAGATCATTGAGCTCCACATCACTGTCTCGAACTCAGACAACCTTCAGAGAAGGAGGTGTTTATGAACCAGCATCTACTGTGAAATTCTTGCACTTGTCAATCAAACCACCGATGACGTACAACGCTCCCTCAGGGGGCATGAGGTGGAGTTATTCTAATACTATGATCTGAAGTCAGTGTTCAAGCAGCACTGTGACTGGTATGTCTGAGGAAAGAGGACACGGTGGCTGGTTCCTGTTCTGTACTCTTCTCCCAGGACAGTCTGCAGCCTACATACAGCAGAAAGAACCTGTTGCTACTCTGACCTTCCCACCTGCTTCTCCCCTTCCTGATAAGTCTGGGAAACCTGACTGTTTTCCATTCAGCGACCCCTCGAAAGCAGAGGTCAAGGGAAGTTAAACCAGTCTGTGCTCATATAGTGTAGTGACCTTGTGTGGCATTTATGGGCTGAGATGGGAACTACAGCAGAGCACCTGGGCGCTCACAGACATGTCAGAATGTGCAAATGTCTTTTGAAGGTAAAGAATACTGTCACGCGATAACTAGATTAAATGCATGAGTCATTGTTCTTTAACAGCTACAGACGCCTCAGTCAGTCATACACTGTACACTGTAATTACTGTTTCTGGTTTGATGATAGCAACATAGTGACATTAGAGAAGGAGGGGGCACAAGGTTTGGTATTTAAAGGAATAGTTCACCCAACAAATGACAACTTGTATATCAATTACTCAACCTGTGTCATGATGAATTTGTTAAGAAGACTTTTTCTCACATGCATCCAAAGTGAACGAAGAATCCAAAAATGGAGAAAAGTCTTAATGAATTGAAGCCATAGGGGTCCACGTTAACAGCAAGACTACTGTAAAACTTCAATCAGTAGCCCAGACTATTATTTACCTACATTTGGGACAGGCCTTTAATTCCTTTCACACAAAACTAAACTTGTATGAATATTGTATATAAATTAGGCTTCGGATAATATATCAGTTATGAATCATTAATTTGATCCAACTGACAGCACATCAGAAAAAGGGCGAGTTACAGCACCTGGTGTACCGACACAACACCACTTTATCACGTTGGATCAATTTTCATGAAAACCCCTTTTTGATTCTTATGATCTGAGGACCCTTACGGACTAAAGGAATATGAATAACTTACAGGGCAATCGAGGAATGGACACATCATTTGAGGTAGCCAACAACCTGGTTTTATACATCCAAAGAACTGCTTGGCATCCAGACCAGGCCTCTAACTGAGACAGGCCTTTACTTGTCAAAATGTGTAGCCACACCAGGCTAGTAAAGGGGACTTGGTGTTTAACTAGGACCAGGCTTTTAATTTGAGTTTTACGGTATATCGAACATCTGTTTACAAACTCTCACACAACTCGCGCAGTATAATCCAAGCCTCATTTATCCAGTTGTACGCTTAGCACTTCCCAAACAGACACTCCTTTGCGACGGGGAAAAGAACTAAAGTGCAACTTATCTACGCTCTCTTTAAAGCCAGACTCCATTGACAAAAACAGTCATTTTACCTCACTGAACACAGGAGCTGCTGGTCTACTGCTGCCTCGATCAGGTAGTTTGTTTACGTTATTGTGTGACTTTGGTGAGTTCAACCTAACCCTTAAAAACAACAAAATGTGTGAGAGTTTATAAATGGATGTTGCAGAGCTGAAAAAAGAGGAACCACTAGACTCGGAGACAGTTTCTTTCCCACAGCCATCAGCACACTAAATAAAACAAAAGCAAATAATGTGCAGCCAGTCTGCCACCCACTAAGCCCTTCGCTTAATAAATACTTTTATAGTTATTTCTGTATTGCATTTGTATCCTCACTTAATGTCCTATGTCTTGTGTTTTTATGTTCTTTGTTGGGATGCATCACCTGAATGTCACAACTAATTTCACTGTATTCCTATTCAATGACAATAAAGACTTTCTAGTTCTAGTATGATATAGTTTTGCTGTTGTTAAACATGGACCCCTATGACTTCAATTCATCAAGACCTCTCTCCACTTTTTGGATTCTTCGTTCACCATAGAGGCATGCAAGAAAAACAAAGTTCTCTTCAATGCAACACAACATGATTAACTGATGTACAAATGGTCATTTGTGGGGTGAAGTGTTCCTCTAAAACCCTTAAAACTTGTTTCTCAATCCACTACTTACTATGAGTACTGGGATCTAACACGAACACACAATTTCCTGCCAACCTTTATTCACTTTTGGTTGCTTCCCGATACAGATTTCTATAATTGTCTAATCTGATCAAACCACACAGTCCTGGTCCTGGTGAAGCAGATTACCTAAGTTTTTTGGGTGCAGTTGTTGTGAAATACTTCAGATTTGAAGCCAGGTTTTCATCCATGCACGCACACTTCCCTGAATTTGTAACATTAGGTCCTGTCACTAGTTACATAATTATTATTATTATTATTATTATGGATTTCTGATAATTAATTACGGGAACAAGCTAAACTGGCGTCTTTTTCTGTCTTTACAACACTTATGCACATGCATTTCTACTTCTCCATTGTGGTATTGATCCTGTTATGTACCTCTGTTTCTGTTCCAATTAATCCCATTTTCCCCACTAGCCGTTACAGCTCAACTCTAAAACAAATAAATGCAAATGAAGGCAAATATGACATCTCTCTCTGCAAGTAGCCTCAGGATTAACAATATACGCTAAGGTAAAGAACTAAAGCCATTTCAAGAGCATCTATTAAACCTCATCCCTGCTAGCACCATGATATGACTGAATTATTTACATTTCTATGATGCAAACACCATGACCACACGTGATAAGTCCCACATGCATAGCTATCAAGACTCCTTGAGGACTGCAGTTGTCTCACAACAGGATGGAGGGGGTCTGACCTTGACTCAGTTGGCAGTCGGGCCCCTAAATGATTGCAGCAACAGGGAAGATTTGGCTCAATGCCAGCATATCCCCCCTCTTTGAACATGTGACCACAAGCTCAGGCCCCTTATAGAGGAACATGAGGCCTAAATTTAGAGCAGCAGACCAGCCATAACAAAGTCTTATAGACGACCTCAGCCATCTTTAATTATTAATTTCCCCCTTTCATCACTGGAGCATTGGGTTACAGAGCTGCAGCTGATTCTCAGAAGCACTTTTAATGTGAACACTGCTATGAGCTGCAGAGACGCATCCAAAAATAGATGTTCTTGAGGTGCAGATGAGATGTGAGAGAAAAGAGGAACAGTCTCAACACACTGACAGCACTGTTTGGTGTCAAAAAGGAGTAGTTGTGGATACAAACTTACCAGAGCCTGTGTGAAATGCTGTTTTTAAAGCAAGTGGCTTGTATGGTCATTAGTTAAATGGGTTTACAAGCTGCAGTTGTGATTTCCTTGCAGGCTGGAAACTGGCTGGGCCACTCAGCAGATAATGTGCAAGTATACATTATGCCTCACATACTATTATCCGCACTGATGAGCATTTAAGAGAATAAAAGTCCCAGCAAGTAGATGTTACATGACTTATTAGTGTTATTTAAAAGAAAACATATGTGCCTGTGTTTTTTCATGCACACATTTCAAGGGGAATAAAAGCTGACTCATAACATCCTGACACTGCAAATCGAAAATGTTGTAATAAATGATTGATGATGAGTGTATGCTGAGTTTAAGGTCAGAGTAGTGATGGTAACAAACATGTAAAACTGTATTAAAATCACACATATCATCAGACACACACAGGTGCAGTCATACACATCATAAAAACAGCTTCATACCTTCTACAGCTGCTGAGTCTTTACCAACACACGGAGACTGGCGTTTCCTCAGCGGTGAATGACAGCTCGACACCACCCTAAAGAAGCCTCATATCCCGGTGGAGGTGATGTCTGAGTGTCTGGTAAAACCCAAACCTGCTGTCACGGACAAACAGCGACAATAAACGGACTATCTAAGTCAACGCGATACTCGTTTGTCCCTCTGTCCGCCCCTGACTCCCCGTCTCTCTCTCTGTGTATCTCAGCGAGCCTCGTCAGTGGGTGACATCACCTGCATCGAATCCCGCCCGCTGGCCAATCAGCGTTGAGATGCTGCGTTGCGAAACTCATCGGTTGAGCTGCCACAGTGGCAACACAATTACAGTTAATAGCTTATATTGTCGCAAACAAACGTCAAAATCTGTATTTTCGACCTGAACGTAGCGTTGTATGTGTATTTTAGCTAATTTATTGATTTAGCTAATAATTTTAGCTGACTTTTAACTGGATATTTAGGCTAAAACTTCCTAAAACAGGCTAATTTGTACTCTGCAGTGATAAAAATATATATTAGTCCGTGTTTTTTATTTAAAGACTGTGTAATTGGAACGAGCCTACAGCGCCATACTGTCTCAGTTTAAAGGGCACTTCAGGAAACTGTAACCAGCAGCAGCCGTGCTGTGACGGCGGGAAATAGCGGCGCTACGTCAGCGCTTGAAGTTACCCATTCAGTATGATGCAGTGAGGTGATCCTCTCAGCCAATCACAGGCCTGCATGAGAGCACATGCGATGTTGGCAGACGAGCCTCTGTGTGCTGAGGCCCTGTAGAGTTACTGTGTGTCAGGAGGATGTGGTGGTGGACCTGACTGCTGGAGTCATCATGGGGAACCCAGCACCAGCTACATTTAATGACTGTATGAGAGAAGGGTGGTGCTGTGGCTGCACACGGGAGAAGTTTTCCTCATTGTTTTTTGTTCAGAAAGTTATTTATGACAGATTAACCCAAACCAGGACTTTCCCCCATAAGCTTTACTAAAAAAAAATCACTCTCTGGTTAAACAAACAAAAAAAAAAGCTCAAGGCAAACCTTCCCCCACTGCAAGCCCAGCAAAAAAGGATCCAGGAAGTCATTGTAATGAAAAAGCTTTTTTAAGTAATAAATTACTTATCTCAAAATAATGGCTTAGCATCTCAAAATAATGATTTAGTATTACAAAAAGAATCAGTACCTCAAAATAAGTACTCACATCTCAAAAAATGAGTTAAAAATAATGATTCATTATCTCAAAATTATCAGTTGGTGTCTCTTAATAACAACAAACTATCTAAAAAATAATGACTTAGTATCTCAAAACAATAACTTGGTATCTCAACACAGTGACTTAGTATCTCAACACAGTGACTTAGTATCTCAACAGTGACTTAGTATCTCAAAATGATGACTTAGTATCTCAAAACAATGACTTAGTATATCAAAATAATGACTTAGTATCTCAAAATTGTGACTTAGTTTCTCAAAATAATGACTCAGTATCTCAAAATAATGACTTAGTATATCAAAATAATGACTTAGTATCTCAAAATTGTGACTTAGTTTCTCAAAATAATGACTCAGTATCTCAAAATTGTGACTTGGTGTCTAAATAATGACTTAGTATCTCAAAATAATGACTTGGTATCTCAAAACAATGACTTAATATCTCAAAATAATGACTTAGTATCTCAAAATAATGACTTAGTGTCTCAAAATATTGACTTAGTATCTCAAAATTGTGATTTGGTGTCTAAATACTGACTTAGTATCTCAAAATAATGACTTAGTATCTCAAAATAATGACTTAGTATTTCAAAAATAATGACTTAGTGTCTCAAAATAATGACTTAGTATCTTAAAATCATGACGTAGTATCTGAAACCAGTGACTTAGTATCTCAAAATAATGACTTTGTGTCTCAAAACAGTGACTTAGTATCTTAAAATCATGACATAGTATCTGAAACCAATGACTTAGTATCTCAAAATAATGACTTAGTATCTCAAAACAGTGACTTAGTGTCTCAATATAATGACTCAGTATCTCAAAATAATGACAAACTCTAAAAATAATGACTTAGTGAGTTTGTATCTCAAAATATTGACTTTGTGTTATTTTTCATTATTTTGAGATACTAAGTCATTGTTACTAACTCATTGTTTGAGACGGTTTTACTTTTTTTTAGATACTAACACTAACAAAAGAAAGTTTCTCATAATGACTTATAGTTTGTTTTTTTATCTCACACAGGGAGAAATGTGCTTCCATACATTTGCACACTTAACAGATAATAACATAGTCTAAATCAAATTTAAAAAAAAAAAAACTTTGTTGGCATGGATGTTAAAGTTATTGCCAAAGCTACTCTTTTTGTGTGTGCGTCTGTGTGCGTGCGTGTGTGCGTGCGTTTGTGTGTACGTGAAAGTGGGAACACAGCTAAAACTTAGACAGTGAAATATCTTTCTTCATGGAAACCTCCCTGTGGCAGCCCAAATATTTGATGGGCTACATGCTACAGCAGCCTCACGTGCAGCTCTTCTCCGACAAGAGCTAGTTCAGTGTGTGTGTGTGTGTGTGTGTGTGTGTGTCTGTGTCTGTGTCTGTGTGTATGTGTGTGTGTGTGTGTGTGTAAGGGAACTAATTGTTTTTCCAGACTGTGAACAGACTTTCTGGGCTAAACCAGAAAAGGAAGAATGTGTGTCTTTGTGAGCGGTTTTCCACCACAGCCTACCAACACTGAGGCCTGTGTGTTGTTATCTTGGGGGACTGTTTTGTACTTTTGAAATGTTCGTACTGTCATGTCGAATGACTCTGTTGTGAAAGTAGGGGAATCAAATTAAAGATAAAACCAATCAGATTTAAAACAAAGAATGTTCCACTCATAAATTTGAGCTAGTTGATAATTTCTTGAGTAGCAGGCAGTACATGTCACCATGTCACCATGTCAGAGCTGTGGTCTCATCTTGCACTACTCCAGCTGTGTGTGTGTGTGTGTGTGTGTGTAATTGTGCAGTTTTAGCATGTTTAGTTTCACTAACAGTTTGTTTCCTGAGAACTTTAATCTGCTGACCCTGCACCAACCTGCAGCCTCAGCTGACATGAGGCAGTTTTATGAATGGATAGATACTTGGAATTATTATTCCTTTGACTGTATAATTAATGATGTAAAATGCACTTTAATGTGGCAGCATTTTTTCCCTCATTGCAAATTTAAAAAAATAAGCAATGGACAAATTCTAGTAAGGAAGCTCTTCTCTGCTGTGCAGCTACAGTTCAGCTAGTGTGACACTTGTTACACCCTGAATGTGCCGTGTGTTGTTGCATTATATTAAATAACCACATGTGAAAGATATTAACCCTGAGCATTAATCTGTTATGATATGTTACAGTAATCCTCCATGTGTCTTTATATAGTTATGGTAGTTATACTGTGCTGTGTAAGACAGGACTTGGATTCTTCTTTCAAACACAGTTGTCACTTTGGCATGGAGGCATAAAGCATAAGCATTATCAAAGTATTACGTCATACATTATATCTACCACTTGTAATGCTTTATGAACTATGTTGTAGGTTGTGATGCATGAAAATAAACATTTACAAAGAGTTTTATGAAGCCATATAAATGCATTACAGTGTTTGAAAGAGGAGTCCCTAAGTATCTCAAAATGATAAGTTAATATCTCAAAATATTGACGTAGTATATCAAAATATTGATGTAGTGTTTCAGAAAATATTGATGTAATATCTCCAAATAATGACTTGGTATCTCAACATGATGTAGTATCTCAAAATAAAGACACTATCTTGAAACAATGTTGTAGTATGTTGAGATAATGAATTAGTATCTTAGCATCTCAAAATTGATGACTTAGTACATAAAAACAATGACTTAGTATCTTAAAATAGTGACTTGGTGTCTCAAAAATAATGACTTAGTATCTTAAAATAGTGACTTGGTATCTCAAAAATAATGACTTAGTATCTTAAAATATCGACTTAGTATCTCAAAATAATGACCTAGTATCTAAAAAAATGACTTGGTATCTCAAAATATTGACTTATTATCTCAAAATAATGACTTAGTAGCTCAAAAATATTGACGTAGTATCTCAAAATATTGACTTGGTAGCTCAAAAATAATGACTTAGTATCTCAAAATAACGACTTAGTATCTCAAAATAATGACTTGGTAGCTCAAAAATAATGACTTGGTATCTCAAAAATAATGACTTAGTAGCTCAAAATAGTGACTTAGTATTTAAAAATAATGACTTAGTATCTCAAAAATAATGACTTAGTAGCTCAAAATAGTGACTTAGTATCTAAAAATAATGACTTAGTAGCTCAAAAGTAATGACTTAGTAGCTCAAAATAGTGACTTAGTATCTAAAAATAATGACCTAGTACCTAAAAAATGACTTGGTATCTCAAAATATTGACTTATTATCTCAAAATAATGACTTAGTAGCTCAAAAATATTGACGTAGTATCTCAAAATATTGACTTGGTAGCTCAAAAATAATGACTTGGTATCTCAAAATAATGACTCAGTATCTCAAAATAATGACTTGGTAGCTCAAAAATAATGACTTGGTATCTCAAAAATAATGACTTAGTAGCTCAAAATAGTGACTTAGTATCTAAAAATAATGACATAGTATCTCAAAAATAATGACTTAGTATCTCAAAATAGTGACTTGGTATCTAAAAATAATGACATAGTATCTCAAAAATAATGACTTAGTATCTCAAAATAGTGACTTAGTATCTCAAAATAATGACATAGTATCTCAAAAATAATGACTTAGTATCTCAAAATAGTGACTTGGTATCTCGAAATAATGACTTATTATCTCAAAAATAGTGACTTGGTATCTCAAAATAGTGACTTTGTATATCAAAAATAATGACTTATTATCTCAAAATAGTGACTTGGTATCTCAAAAATAATGACTTAGTATCTCAAAATATTGACATAGTATCTCAAAAATAATGACTTAGTATCTCAAAATAGTGACTTTGTATCTCAAAATAATGACTTAGTATCTCAAAATATTGACATAGTATCTCAAAAATAACGACTTAGTATCTCAAAATAGTGACTTGGTATCTCAAAACAATGACTCAGTATCCAAAAAGTATTATGTAAAACCTCTAAATACTGATTTAGTGTCCCAAAATAATTACTTTGTAACTCAAAACA